CTACTGCTTTTGTTTTGTTTTCAAGAAATGCAATACTCATTATATGTTTCTTCATTTCCGTTTAGTATATACTGACGATATTTTGCTTGTTTGTCTTCCAGAGTCAATTCATTTTGAATGTTTTATATTTTTAATGTTGGATTTTGTTATGTTATTGTTTATACTAGTTTTATGTTTATTGAAAAATATACTCCATAGTTGGTCCGAGTTGGATGTTGGACAAAGTTTAATATTTGCAAGGTCTTCATTAATTTTATCATGGTTCCCTTTTGAATTTAAATGTTTTGTAAAGTATGGGGGTATATTTATAATAGATTCAATTGATATAGTAAAGTATAGTAATTGATGATGACTTTTGCAAATAGGTTCTAGATAAGTTAAAAGGGAAATCATATTTTCATCAGAAGTAAATAAGAGGTCAATTGTAGTTGGATTTTGATTTTGTTTTATGTGTCCACATCCCTGGTAGTACCGCGCTCAACTCGTTTCTCTGCGCAGTGGCCTTGTTCGTCAAGGTTTGTGTTTCAGAGTTATAGAGTTGAGAGAGGGTTATATAACCACAAATAAGTAGCCACCTCGTCTGTAGTGGCCTTGTCAGCCTTGAGGAGGTGAATTAACAAAAAAAAAAAAAAAAACATGTGTTGCATTTGAAATATTTTAGGTTAGAAAAGAATCACAAATATTTTCAGTAAAATTAATTGATTTAGTGGCATTTGTTATAGGTTGTTTTGGATTTTGCCAACTGATATCTTGGTAGTTGAAATTTCTGATAATAAAAATGTTTGGATACTTATTAGAAAGTTTGGCGATGTGGTGATTTATTCAGTTTGTGTTTTCATCGTTACTGTTTGGTGATCTGTAATATAATTCGATCCCACCACGTCCCTGGTAGTACCGCGCTCAACTCGTTTCTCCGCGCAGCGGCCTTGTTCGTCAAGGTTCGTGTTTCGGAGTTAGAGAGTTGAGAGAGGGTTATAGCCACAAATAAGTAGCCTCCTCGTCTGTAGTGGCCTTCTCGGCCTTGAGGAGGTGAATTAAAATAAAAAAAAAAAATATATATATAAGCTTAATAACAACTTAGAAGTTTTTGTTGTAATTTCACAACTGATTCGGATGGAAATATATCAAGATTAAATAAGGAAGCATTGCTGTGTATATAGTAAGTAATTTTCAATAGCAAACTCAAGATTGTTAATTTCAATTTTTTTGTTTTTAGGTAGAGTTTCTGTTAGAAAAATAGTTTGGGGTTTCAGATTATTTACAACTTGTTTGAGCTCATGGCATTTTTTTTAAATAGAGAGTTAATGTTTGTGTAAATAGCTTTTAAAGGGACTACCAAGTCCCGAGACATGTTGTATTCATATTAAAGAGAATGCTAAAAAAAAACGTCTGAGCAAATTTTTTTTGACTAAAACTAATTAATAAATGTATACCAAGAAAAACAAATCTTGTTGTTTTAGTCGAAGCTTGTCTTCTCCGTTTTCTGTGGTATTTTGAGTATGTAAAATAAACGTGATTTTCCAGACGCATTATACAGAATTGATAATTTATTCAGGCGCGTTTAATTTATAGGAGTTTTAGAGCATGGCGTCATTGCAAACATTCTAGAAATTCTTTAAAAATTTTTTTATTAAATTTTACTCAAATAGATAACTATAGTTACTTATTTTATTAAAAGTTTATTTTATTAATTGTTTGTTAGTTTTTTACAAATCTAACGAACAATTAATTAAACCAAGCACTAAGAAAAGATATAAAAATTAAGAATATACTAATAAAATATATAATTTGTAATTAACTTTCAAAATTTTGACAATTTAAAAAATATATATTGTAAAACATTTTTGTAAACAAATGATAATAGTTTAAAAGTTTTACGGCTTTACAGATGTGGCTCCGAGAATGAGCCATAATATTAAAGTAATAGTTCATTTGATAATATATTCTTAAAAAAATTTATGCTAGAATCTCAAAACGCAACAAATTGTAAATAATACAATTCCTAAAACATTTCAGCAGAATACTCTAGAACTTTATTTTGCTTAGTCAGCATGTTTTTTGAACCAATAGAATTAGTTTGTTCGCAAATTTGGCGGGTTTTGTTCGCGAATATCTATTTTATTCTTCCGCAAAATGTTTTAAGAACATTCAAGTTAATTATGTTTCCATGTATGTCTGTAAAATAAAAATTAATATATATTAATTTTTTAATTTTTAAGCCCCCGCCATAATATATATTGGATGTTATAATGGAAATATAAATAATGAAATAAGATCACCTCAATTCCAAAAAATACATTTTTGAAAATCAGAGAAAAAATGCGTTACTAATTTTCTTTATTTACATTGTAATATTTTATTTATTTACATTGTAATATTTACAATGTAAATAAATAAAAGTGCATTATTATTTAGGTTAAAAATTATTTTATCTAATATTTTGAAAGAAAAACTTATAACAAAAGAAATCAGAATACACGTGGTCTAGACGATTATTTAAATAAAGTTGCGCAAATAAAATACCATTTTGTTTTTTATTTTATTTTTGTTTTTAATTTTATTTTGTTTTTAATTTTATTTTGTTTTTAATTTTGTTTTACAAGTACATTTTAGAACTTTAAAATATAGTAAAAATGAATATGATTTGGAAACTGTATGTAAAAAATAACAATCGGTGTTTTAAACAAAAAAAAAATGTTTCCAATGTTTCAAAAATTGTTTTTTAATCTTATTATTTTAATAGGTTTTTCATTGCCTTTTCCAATTTCCTCAGTTATCTTGTTAGTTATTTTTTTGTCGTCGTTGTTTTTTTCAAGTTCATTTAAATTATTTTATCTGGAATTCCAAAAACGATAATGTTCTTTTCATGCCTTTTTTTCTCTTTCGGTTCAGATAACATAGTTTTTGTAATTGAGTTTACAGCAAGTTTACAAAGCTTTTTCTGCAAATTTATTTTTATTATTAAGATTTGACCAAAATGTAGCTGAACTACTTTCGGTTTCTTTTTTTCGATTCTAATAATTCAACTCTTTTTATAAGACGTTGAGTGGTTTCATTCTGATCACGCATAATATCGGATAGTTCCAAACAACTTAGTTCACCTTGTTTAATCATGAATACTGTGATTTCGTTGTATCGATTATAGTGAAAATAGGATTATATAAAAATAATAATAATATACAACAATAATAATAATAAATAACAAAAATTTATTAAGCAATTGACAGCAAGAAAAATATAAAAATAGAGCAAAAGTAAATAAATGTTTAAAATACAATAAAAATATATATTCAAAAAACGTTATAGACAAATTATTATTATTTTTTTTTCTTTTTTAAACAAATAAGGATACATAAAACTGTAAAAAAAAAAAAAAAAAAATAGAAATATAAGCTTGGAACTAGACAATATAATAGCTTAGGAAAACAAAATATTAATAATAGATTTAAGAATTTATAATAGATTTAAGAAATTTAAATCTTACGCTGAAAAAACACGTCTTATCACTTTGAAAGTAGAAGTCGTTTTTTTGAAATATATATATAATAATATGATAAATGATAATTATTTATATATATTTATATAATATACTAATCTACATTTTTTGTAGATTAGTATATTATGTTTTTTTCATATTTTTATCAGATCAATAATTTTTTAAATACTTAATTATATGGAAACAGTTTATTAGAAAATCATAGGTATTATTTTTATATGCTGCCAAATGATAAAATACCTTTTTGTGTGCAAATCTAGTTTCTAATTTTTTACAACCTTTCTTGTTTCTGTATTGTTTCTTATGTACATTTATGATCTTCCTGATATCTTATATCTAAAGCTGTCGGGTCAATTTTATACTCCTGTTTTGACAAAAGTTCTTCCTTAGATTGCTTAGAACAATCAGCTAACCTTGAATCTGATCTCCCTTTTATAACAGCTTAGAGATTGCAGCGGTCGGTGGATTCCAAAAAAACTCTAGCTATCAACTGCTATTAACTGAATCAATAATCACAATCACAATGTTATTGACATTCTTATATTGATAAATGGACACCCTCGCACTATGTCTTCTAATCTATGTTTTGCGAATAAAAATTCTCGCATAGAAAACTTGTTTACAACCCTCTCCCTATGTCTTCTAATCTATGTCTTGCGAATAAAAATTCTCTCTTAGAAAACTTATTTACAATTTTTAATTATTTAATTAATTACTTCTAACTATAGTCGTTGCTTGCAGCCTTACTGACAAAAAAGTTATTTTAAAAAAATTATTTGTTGTAAAATCAAGTTTAAATTTATTGATTATTCATCAATGTTTAAGCATCACAGTATATAGTTTATAATATATAAAATATAGTTTAAACTCATCCTTATTTAAATAATATTTTCTTTTAATAATGTAATTTCCTTGCAAGAAAACACTAAGAGAAATTTTATTCATCTATCTCATCATTAAACTAACTTCTATTTCACCTCTTTCTTACAAAATTATATGTGATATTTGTTAATATTATTATTATTATTGTAATTATTATTGTTAATTTTATTGTTATTATTGCTATTATTATTATTGCTATTATTATTGTTGTTGTTATTTTATTGTTATTATTAATATTATTATTGTTGTTATTATTACTATTGTTATTATTGTTGTTGTTGTTATTATAATTACTAATATAATCATTATTATTGTCATCATTATATTTAATAGTATTATTGATATGATTATAATCCTCTTCGTTTAATTTACTTTATTATTATTATATGATTGTTATTATTATTTAATTGGTGTTTTCCTTAGATTAATACTCGTACTATTTGTAAACAACTATGTAATTTAAACTTTTATTTCAGGATATATATTGTTATTGTTATTGTCAAAACAAAATTAAAAAGTAAATAAGGCAAAACAAGTTCTGGATTTTTTGCAGATATTTTATATAAACAGTTTTTTGGGTTTTAAAAATATGACTAGAATGATCTATGTTGAAAGATAATAAAAATATAAAACTGACGATGATTGTAATTTTAATTTTTTTATATATTTATTTGTTTTTTGTATTTTTTATAATTATATTTTATTTCCTTACTTTTTAGGAAATCTATAAAACATATAACTTTAACTCAGAAATTTTAGGCTAATTGACCAGTATTTTATTTAGTATAGCAGATCTACTTAAACCTCCTCTACCTTTCAAAGTCAAAGGTTGCTTGTCTTTTAGTAATTGATAAAAGCGTTTTGTTTACATTCACTTATTTTGATTACCTTCAACTTATTTTTACTTTCTTGTAATATTTTTTAGTTACAAACATTGTTTTTAAATCCATCTGCACTTTGTTGTGCACTTGTAATATTATTTAGTAAGTTATAATACAATGTTTGTGATTGAGTTACAAGATTAAAATACAAATCTGTTAAAGTAAATAATGTACAAATTTTAAAATCATAGCATTTTAAAATTTTTTTCAATCATGTCACAGTTTTTTATTCTAATGTACTCTTGTTGTAATTTTTGGCCTATCAAACCCTGACCCATTTTGCTTCTCTCACATTTGAACAGTGTTTTTTTGTTTTGTTTTTGTGTGTGGTAGAAACATAAAAGTAAAAGCATGTTTTATAACTTTATAATATTTTTATTTTATAAAATATTAGATGGTGTTGAAATCTTCAAGTTGCATGGCTCAAGTGTTATTGTGGATGGATATTTTGCAAGTACTCATTTGCAATGTTTTACTCAAGTGAAGGTGCAAAATGTTCCAGAATCAGGTATAAAAATTTAATATTATCTACATTCTTTAATGTTTTTTGTATTATTTATTATTTCTTGTTATTTAAAAAAATCACATTAACTTGTAAGTTAGTTACAATTTACACCAAAGACGCAAATGAAAAAAATTTTATTAGTTTTAAAAAATATAATAAAACATACAATAATTGTATAGCAAAGTCATTATTTCATTTATAGCAAGCACAGCTAAGTCATTATGTATAATTTTTTGTTGTTTTTTGGCTTTTTTTTTTTCGTAATATTTCTGCTTCTTCTGTAAAATACACTACACCTAAATATTAGAAATGTCAGATAATAGTTTGTGAGGGGATACTCAAATATTCACTATAATACTTCAGGTGCACTTACAAAACAATAAAGAAGTATTTAATTCATTATTTATTTATCAAAATAGAGTGGAAATGCAAATGAGTTTTTTTTTTTTTATTAAAGCAAAATATGAAACACATTTTATGTTTTGACCAAATCACAACATTTATTTGTTTTATTCATGTTAATTAAATTTTTTAAAATTTAATTACCATTAAAGTTGTTTGCAATTTAAATTAAAATAGATCATAACAATAAACGTATATTAGGGCTGCATGGGATTTTATTTCCAACTCCAGCCAATTTTAGAAAATCCGGCTCCAGCAAAAAATTAGGAAATCCCGCAATGTTTGAGCCGGATTACTAACTTCTGGTCAGGTATTTATTACATCTTTTTTTGCCTGTGCTTACATAAATACTCATCACTTCATTTATACAAATCAATGTAATTCTATATTCTATGAACTCCATGTTTGTAATAGTATCCATGTTTGGATTCGTGGAGAGTCTTCAATGATAGTGGTCGTGTTTTTATAACGGAAAGATAAAGAAAAAAGAAAAAAGAAATTTAAACAAAATTTTTAATAACTAAACAACAAATTTAATCAGTAAATAAAGTCAGAAATTTTGAAAAGAAAGAAAAAAAAATTAACGAAAAAAGAAATAATAATTTTCTATTTTACCAAATTTTCTACACCTTTTTTTTTTCAATTATTTCGCAAAAATAACTAATGCTTGTCCTTATTTTATAATTTTTTTTTATTTTTTTGTAGAAGTGTTTGTGTTTGCCTTTTCGTTTTTGTGTTTCATCTTGTCGTTTTTGTGTTTTGCCTTTTCATTTGTGTAAGATTTGTTTTTTATTTGTTCTGTTTTGCTTATTATTTTTATTTTTATTTTCTGTTGTTATGAAGTATTTTCATATTTTTTGTCTTATTATTTAACTTATCGTTGTTTATCGTTATCGTTGTTTATGGTATCGCTTTATCGTTTTTATTATTATTTTATTTATTTTCTTAGCGATTTTCGGTTCATATTTATTATTTTTATTATTATTTTATTATTATACTAATTTTTATAGTTAATTGGTGTCACTCATTTTGATCATGAATGACACTCATGTCATCATATTATTTGTATTATAGATAATATTATTATTTTTAACTATTATTATTATAATTATTTGGTGTCACTCCTTTGACCAGGCTTCTGTTTGAGTGACAACTTCCTTTTCAAATAATTATTTATATTTATTCTTATTAGTTATATTTTATTATAATTATATTGTTTGTATTATTACAGATAATACTATTATTATTGATATTATATGGTTATATGTAAATTTTGAAAAGGAAAATAAATATCTTGTTGTTGTTGTTGTTGTTGTTGTAATGTATTTACATTACTTTACAGTTTATTAAACTAAGCCTAATTTCAAACAACAACTCAACAAAAAATTCTGAAGAGAAGACACAATATTCTGAAGTAAAGATATGCAAAAGAGTCTGAAGTGAAGACACAAATGTGTTTAAATATACATTTAATAAAGTTACAGTGCAGAGGGTATTGATGCAAGATAGAAGTCCATCTGAGCCTGCTGAGCAGCAGATTGACAAAATTGAATAAATTCTAGCAAAACAAGTCCAGCTGGATGATTCTTCTATATCATCACTATGAAAATATTTTTGAACAACTTCATCTTCCTGATTGATATGATTTACAAATTTCAAGTTTTTTTCTCATTTCTTACTCTTCAACTTTTTTCCCTACTCTTGATTTAAAGTATAATTGCAAGAAATTGATGTTGTCTGTTGCGCATGGCTGTTTCACTCAGTATTATTTTAAAAATCGCATTAACTTATAAGTTAGTTACAATTTACACCAAAGACGAAATGCTTATTTTTTTTCACGAAATGTTTTACTCAATATAAAAATGAGCCTGACGTCACAAGTTTATCAAAAAAAAACAAGCATTCCCGCATAAAAAGTATAAAAATTTGCTAACTTTAAAATAAATAAAAATACTTTTTTCTATAAACGATTTCATTTTAAATAACAAAAATATAAAAGATCAATATTTGTCTATGTTAAATAAATAATTACATTAAACTGATTAAAAATAAATAATATTAAAATATTGCCAATGATTTAGTGATCACTTTTCTGTTTTTTGCGATATTTACAAAAAATTTGGCTTGGGACAAATAAATGGTCTGACAGCTACGTTGAAATTTGGAAAACTTATCAACCGATGTCTGTTCTATCTGATTTTTGGTGCCTTTCGCTTATTTTTTTGAAGAAAAGTTAGTTTTTAACGCATTTCAATTTTTAATTTAATCACTATTAAATCAAAATCGTAAATTTATTGCAAACGGCACCAAATTATCAAAATTGAAATCCTTTATACATATAATAATCAAAAAATTATTTTCTGTATCTCTAGTTATGTCAGACTATGTCTCATGTCCATGTCTAGGTCTTCAAACTTGGCTGGTTTATAACATTTTTTCTATTTTTATGTGTAAATTTTTGTTTACATTTTAAAAAAATCATGTGACCTTATATAGTTTACAAGTTTAAAAATTAGGTTCAAATAAATTTCTTTTTAAGTTAAAATGGTCTTGCAATGTGTATATTTAATATTAAATATCTAAAATATATTTTTTCAATTTTTTTTTTGATAAAAAGTGACAACAAATTACTAAAATTTAGTCAAGCTTATCATTTGGCATTTTATCTAAAAATGAAAAAAAATTTAATCGATCATTTAATATCATATGGTAAAACGTTTTATTGGTGTTTATATTCTTTTTACAGAACATAATTATCTTTAATATTTTAAAAGTATAAAAAGTTTTAGTAACACCTACTAAGTGATTATTTAGGAAAAAAAAAAAAAAGCCATAAAGCTCACTTTGAAATAGCCTGTGCTGAGGTTCATTGTTCTCAAATTATTAAAAATAACAAAAAACATATTTTATTCTAAAAACTTTTAAAAAATCTTTAATATAATCCTAAAAAAGAAAAGTTAGCTCTCACACATGGGCCAGATCTTATTACCTCTTTCTAAGCATCCATCAATAGACTTTTTGAACTTAAACTAGCATATACTTACTTTTAATCTTTTAATACTTGTAAATAATAGTTACTTTTTTTTTTTTATCTATTTTTTTTTTGTTGAGAATTTTATGTTTTTTAGATGTCACTCCATTGACTAGTTTGTAACTTGAATGACATCTAACTAGATGTCACTCATATAGTTACAAACTAGTCAATAGATGTTTTTTAGATGTCACTCCATTGGCAAACTAGTCAATCAAGTGACATCTAAAAAACATAAAATTCATGATAAAAAGAAAGAAAAAAAAAATAGATAAAAAAAAATATATATATAAATAAAAGAGAAAAAAAGATGATTGTTAAACAAATAATATTAATTTATGTAATAGTTATAGTAATAATACAAAATAATAACAATAATAATGTTGAAAATAATACAATATAAATTCCATGTACTTATCGTAGATAATAGTTAAATATAATAATAATGTAAAATGTAGCAATAAAAACACAATAAATATAATATAGCTAAATAATAAATAAAGCAAAACTCAAACCACTCCTTTGTTAAAGAAATTATATATCAAAGGCAACTACAATACAGAGAGAATTTATAAAGAAATAGACACTAACAATATATTTTTAAATTGTTGTTTTAAGGAAAACTTACCATATTTATATATGGTAAGTTATGAGCGCTCTACTACTACACCACTACCGCTTATTTATTTTAATAAAAAAATTTAAAAAAGAGTTTGGTAGTTTTTTTGGAGAAAGTTAAACACAAAAAGATAACTGTAAAACTTTACAGGATCATGGAGTTTTAAGATTTTTAGTTCAGAAAATTTTTTTAAGATATCAGATCTCATTGGCAAAAATGTCATTCTAATAGATGCACGTTGTAAACTAGCAATGCTATTAAGTAAAAAGTTACTTTTTTGACTCCAAACAATACAACAATAGCAAAGATGAGAAAAGAATAAGGAAAAATAAATTATTTTAAAAGTTTGGATTGGAACATAGTAACAAATTAGAGAAAGCATACTGTTAGCTTGTGTAAGTTTCTTTTTAAGATGATATAGTTAATTATACCAAGGCTTTCATCAAGATATACTCCAAGATACTTTATATATTTTGATGAAAAAGTTTTTTCCGTAATGTTAATTTAAATATTATCAATAGTTTTTTGAGGGGAATGAAAACAAGTGTGTTTAGTTTTATTGACATTCAAGAAAATGTGATTACTATTTAACCAGTTACATAAGCAATGAAGATCTTGATTAACTTTTTAAAATAGTTCAGAAAGTACTGGAGAGATATCATTTGCAAGAGCATTAAAAATAGGTTTTGGAATGCTGTTAGGTCCCGAAGCCTTGCTGTCATTAAAAAAATGAATAATAGATACTTCATTTTTGTTTTGGTTTTGGTTTGATGAATATTGATTTAAGATTGTGGTTTTTCAGATATTTATTGAAGTCAGTATCGGATGAGTGCATCTTTTTCTGTAATTCTTTTTGAATTAAAACAAAGAATGAATTAAAAGATTCCGAAATTTTATTGGGGTTGTATATCATGGAGTTGTTAGAGATTAGCAGGAAGGATATGAGTTATATATAGGATATGAAGGATAGGAACTTTCAAATTAATGTTTAAAAAACTTATACCATCCCTTGTAGATTTTAAATTTTTAGCATGATCAGAGAAAAACTTAGAGTAATGGTTCTTTTTACTTTGACGGGTGAGATTAACAAAAAAGTTTCTATATGTTTTCTAAGATTTTTCTTGATTGAGTTTGTTATTAGAATTCTTTGTTTTAAGAAATTTGTTAAATATTTTATTTTGTATTTTAATTAAAGTCAAGATTTTTTTTGTTATCCAAGGTTTGAGACCCCTTGAGAAGCAGCGATTGCTGACTATTTTTAATGATGCATGTTTATCTAAAAGAAAATTGAAACTTGTGAAAAACTCATCAAATGATTTGTTAGTCCTTCGTTAACATTGATTACATTAGTCCAGCTAATTTTTGAGAAATCACTACATAACAACTTTTTTTAATTTCCGAAAGATGCAGCTTATATGAGAATTAAATTTAGTTCTATAAAATGGATGTATTAAAAATTGGGGTAAATGATCTGATACCGTAGAAGTAAAATTACCGGCAAAAATATTTGTAGAAGTTGCATTAAAAAATATGTTATCAATTAGAGTTTTTGAGTGATTCGTGATTTTTGTTAGCAATGAAAAAAAAAAAGAAAGTTATTTAAAGCAATGGTTTATAAAAATTCAGAAAAAAATTAGAAAAAACTGTCTGATAACAAGCATTATTATATTTAACAACACCTTGTTAGAAAAAACTGTCAAATAAAATAAATTCATCTTATTTATCAAAGACTTGAATAAATCTATTATGCTGGTTTTCTCAATTACCTTTCTATATCTAGGATCATGAAAAAAATGAAACATGAAGAAAATCTCAAATAAATAAAAAAATTTGAAATGAATAAGTTTGTTGTTTATTACACACTTATTTATTTCAATTTTTTAAATAACAATTTATTTCAGGTTTTTATAAAGCAACTTAAATACTGTGGTTAGAAAGGAATGATTCAATAATTTTGAAGTTTTTCTTAGATGCATTTTATGAAGATAGTTTATTGAGAAAATCAGCATCAAAAGCCTTTATCAAGATATATTATAAATATCATAAGAAAAATATCAAGATTTCAATCAACCATATCAAGAGAGCAACCAAACAGCAACAGGCTTGCCTCACTTTATCATTATCTTGCCTCACTTCCTTTTACCTAATCTTTTTATCTTTTTATTACTATGGCTACAATGACTCAGCAGTAAAACAAAAAAATTAAAACTATTCATTTATTTCTCAATTCCGATAACAAATAATTAGTTAATAAATAACTAATATTCAGGTTTAAATTTAATTTAGAAATTGAAGTTTTAGACTCAAGATGAAATTTTAGAAGGGTTTTACTTATAACAGTTTAATAACTAATAATAAAAGTAACTAGGCAACAGTTAGAGGAGACAGAGCCATCACCAACAAACATCTCAAACAACACCTCTAACTTCCAACAAGGCTGCAAGCAACCACTAATAAGTTGGGAGTTACAAAAAATATATATAGAGTTATATAGCAAGTAAAATAAAATAAAAAGTGTTGACAGAAGGATTTAAAAGTTGAAACTGAAATGTTACTTGAAACTGAAAAAATAATAAAGTTATATAGCAAGCAAGTTGACAGAAGACTTGAAAAGTTGAAAGTTGTATGCGTCAGAAAACATGAAGATGGGAGAGAGTTAAAGTGCAGAAAAAAACAAGACAAATAAAAGTTTTTAGAGCATGCAGGGGCTGATACAGTAAAAAGATAAGGCTTTGCTGAATTACGAGTCAAACAAGAACAAGTTTTAGTTGATGGAGCTTGAGATGATATCTCCTAGTATTTGTAAGAAAGAGATGCAACTTTATGATCATGGAAAAGAGGCGCAAGCTTAGCAGATAGAGCATTTTCAACTTCATTAACAACGCAGTTTATGAAGTTGAAAATGAGAAATTTGTGAACTTTGTCGAGTTTTGTTTTGATTATTATGTCTTTTAAAATTGTTTTAAATTTTTAATATTATATATATTATATATGGTTTATTTTAATAGTACTAAAATATAAGTTTACTACTATTTATGACAAACATAGTATAAAATATTATTTAAGTTTGAAAAATACACTGTGTAAGGAAGGCAAGTGGCCAGCATTCCTTAAAAACCTGGAAATCATGTTTTTATCTTTTACAGAGTTGTTATTAATTTTGCATAGATTTAAACTGAATGTTACTGTTAGTATTATTAACATCTACTATATAGTTTATTTTCATTTTCATATTTTTTCTTAAATCAAAATATTTTATAAGATAATATTGTTTAAGTTTTTATTATTAGATTATTTTGCACCCTCACCTCCTCAGTTACATGTTCATGGTAAAACAGAGATTTCTATTGAGTGGGATCCTCCTAAAAATCTTCTTGGCAGATTAAATTATTATGAACTTAGAATGGATAACATGGTTTGTTGTTTTTTTATGTTTTTCTACTTTAATTTGTTTTTAGTTTGAAATCTAACAAGAAATTTTCTGATTCTTAGTAACAGTAGTTGTGACATAAATTAAAATTTTCTGATATAAAAACTAATTTTTCATTTAACACGGAAGGTGTGAACACAGAGGCTATTAAAGTTTTTAGGCTCATCATGCAAGGAATTTTATTGTTATTATAGTCTTTGCTTATGCATGTTTTTTTGTGATTTTTGTCATCATTTACATTCTTTCTTATTGTTGTTGTTTTTTTATTTTGCTCACAACAAAAAGCCATATTAAGCTTTGAAGTTAACTGTGAAGCCAAAAGTAGTAAAGAGAGTTAAAGAAAAGAAAACTGTAAATTGAAAACTGTTGATAGAAGGGTGTAAATTAAAAACTGTTGATAGAAGACTGTAAATTAAAAACTGCTGATAGAAGATTAAAAACTGCAGATAGAAGTCTGTAAATTATCAGGAAAAAAAGAGTCAGGAAAACATGAAGAGATGTGTGATTTTCAAAAATTTTTAAATCCTTTTATTGCATTCGTAGTATAAAAATAGTCCTCGATGGATATAAATATAGTCCTTTTTTAGACTAGGTGCAAAAATAAATTGTAAACATAGTTGGACCTGCTCTTGCAGCCAACCTCCAACCATAATCACGTTGTCGTAATGTTGCTTCTCTTTCTCTTTTTTTAAATATTATAATGGGCACTGCTCTAAAGAGCTAGCAATTCTTGTGCCATCTACAAAAATTTATTCTTGTATTACTTTGTCATTCAGTTAAGTCTCATCCTTTTTCTGTGACTGTTCCTAAGTGCAATAAAATCTCTTATTCATCTAGTTTTTTTCCTCAAACATCAGTTTTTTGGAATTCACTTCCTTTATCTTGCTTTCCTGATCTTTTAAGTTGTCTGTCAATCATTATCTTGCTCTACAAACTTCAAATTCTCTTCCGGTAACTTCCAACTCTAATAGTGGTGGTTTGCAGCCTTGTTGGAAATGAAGATGTTGAGAAAAAAAATTTTTTTTTTTGAGCTCTTAGTATACTTGAAACCCTTTTTCCTCTTTTTTTCTCTTATTAAAAACATTCTTAAGCTTAGATTAGTTTATTTTTTCTAAAGTCTAATATAATATCATATTGCTGTTATTGCACTCTTTACTGATTGAAGGAAATCCAAAAGGATATGATGTTATTTTTTTCTATATTTATGTTCTTAAAAGTTTTTAGATTTACTATTTATTGGAAAACCATTATGTGTTTTGTCCACTTGTATTGAATGTTGTTCTTTTTTTAGCAAATGTTCCTCCTCATATCATTATTTTTTGTTTATTACTTGTTTAAATATTTATTTATTTGATTTATGCTTTAGAACTAAATTTATATATAAATAAATAAATTTATATATAAATTAATGTTTCAAAACAATTAAAGAACTACATCAATAAATTAACACAGTTAAACATTTATTTCCAGATAATATATAGAGGAATTGACCGCTGTTTTACTGCGCAAGCTTTTCATCCAACTAAAGTTTATGGCTTTACAGTAACTACAATTAGTTATATTTGAAATTTGTTTTTAGTTTTAAAATGTTATTCTGAAGTGAAAATATTAAATTTCAGGTTTCAGCTTGGATGAGTGAGGGTAGATGCGAAAGTTTACATAGAACACGTCGAATCAGCAAACAATGTAATTTGTTTTAATATATCCAAACATTAATAATAATATAAAAAGTATTATTTTTTTCAGTTTTAAAATCAGATTTGAATTCTCTGACTGTTCTATTACGTGCTTTCGTTTAGCACCTCTTCACTTGATTACCTTTTCTACCCACTTTTTGGTGTTCTTTCTACTCAAATTAACCAAGTTTTTTTATTATTTATTAATTTACTAATGTTGTTGTTATTGTTGACTTTTATATTTATCAAACTCATTGGCTTGGCTCTAGACTTTGCAGGTCTTAAATCTAAAAATAAATTTTATTTAAATCTCTTACCGATAATAAAGTTGACAACAGCAAACTGGAATGTATTTAAAAAGTGTTTAAATACCTAAAAGTATCATCTACAGTAAGGATGACCAAAGTCTTTATGACAAAGGGCAAAAAAAATAATCACAAACATCTGTGTAAAATGTAAATGATTACTACAGAAATAGTCTTTTTATTTTTTTTTTATTTTTCAATATTTTTCAATTTAAACAAAAACATCTTTTCAATTATCTAAGTATAATAACATCCGTGCAACTACACCTGGAAGTTTTACAGATGTAGTTACGTCTTTTCAATTATGTTAAGAAAAACCACATCTGTACAACTACATCTGTAAATTCTGATGACGTAGTTACATTTTTTAAATTATATTAAAAATAGTTACATGATTTTATAGAACTATTAAATTATAATGTGTTATATTAATCAGATGTAGTTACATATATGATTTTTTTTTTTTCAGATGTAGTTACATCTGGAAAAAATTATTAAATAATAATGCATTATTTTAACCAGATTTAGTTTTATATAAGTTTTTTTTTCATCTGTAGGAAATTCTTCCAGATGTTATTGGCTTTAGTGAAAAATAGACGATTTCGGAGTTAGCGTAGCCATCTTGGAAAAATATTCTTGGGGGTGCAAGTTGAACTTTGAACTTTCCGTTTTTATGCAAAATGTCATATAAAAGTATGAAAACATTCTTAATTTAAGTTCAAAATAACTCATAGATTATTAGTTAATTCTTGGTTTATAATTATAAGGAAAAAATGTTAAACTTGTTGCAAGAGCTTTTGCTGCTGTGAAACTTATTCTTGAAATTATATCTTCACAATTTAAAACCAAAAAAAAAGGTGATATTATACCTTTTTTTATGGTTTTAAATTTTATAATATAAAATAAGTTTGCATTTTTTTATTTAATTACACATATAGTTTATATTGAAAAATAAAGTTTCTATTTTAGTAATTTAAATGGTACAGACTATACCATATGAAAACTTTAAATCAACAATTCACTTTAGTGCATACATTTTATTACAGTGAGTTGTTTGATCTCATTATAAAAAAATAGTTATTAGTTTAAAACTAGTTAATATATTTTATTGCCTTTTTTTTTTTAAGATAAAAACATTTATTAAGTAATATCTAGTATGTAATATAATGCCAAGTCTTAGCAAATGTATAGTTGGTGTCTGTAATAATGACAAATAATACCCGGACATGCACAAGTTACCAAAATGTAAAGAAAGAAGAAATGCATGGATACATCATGGTAGCACTGGTATAAAAGATTTTATTGCCCCTAAAAACTTTTTTGTTTAATCACTTCCTTGAAAAAAAATCTACAAAAGATAATCCTGATCCAACTTTGTTTTATTTAAAATCTCTATTAATACCATAACAACACCATAAAAGAGAAAAGTACTTTTTCCACAAAACTCAATTATTAATTCTAAAAAGGTTTTAGTTATGAAAGAAACTAATTCAAATTCGATAGATGATTCAACATCATAATCAGAAGACATAATATTGCTTCTGTTAATTCAACAGAACTTGACCTTTTTCTTAATTTCAAAATTTTGTTGCTGCCATCCCAATACGTCATAAGAGAAGCTTTGTTTGAGATAATTAAAGACACCTGAAAATTTTTTGTACTCACCAAACCTGTAAAAAAAATTGCACATCATTTTCACGTGTCAACTGGCAGAACATCATTGGGACAGACACTAGAAATTCACTAGATGATGCTATTTCTCTTTCATCTGCAACAACAAAATCAACTCAGAATCACCACAGTCAACATTGAATTAGTTTCTTTCATAACTAAAGAATTAATAATTGAGTTTCGTGAAGTTTTACGTACTTTTCTCTTTTTTGGCGTTGCTATGGTGTTAGTAGAGATTTTTAAAAACAAAGTTGGATCAGGATTATCTTTTGTAGATTTTTCTTCAAGGAAGTGATTTAAACAAACAAAAAAGTTTTTAGGAACAACAAAATCTTTTGTACTAGTGCTACCATAATGTATCATGCATTTGTTCTTTCTTTACATGTTGGTAACTTTGCATTACTAAATTTCCTTCAACATTGCTATGTTTTATAATTTTTTCAGGGTATCTTTTGTAATTATTACAGACACCAACTAAACATCTGCTATGAATTGGCATTATATTTCATACTAGATATTACTTACTAAATGCTTGTATTTAAAAAAAAGCAATAAAAGTATATTATTAAATTTTCTTCAACATTGCTGTTTTATAATTTCGTCAGGGTATCTTTTGTCATTAATAAAGACACTAACTAAAGATCTGCTTTGACTTGGCATTATAATACATACAATTTAATTAACCAGTTCTAAACTAATAACTAATATTTTATAATGTTCACTGTAATAAAATGTATGTACTAAAGTGAATTCTTGATTTAAAGTTTTCATACGGTATAGTTTGCACCATTTAAAATACTGAATACAAAATTTAAAACCATAAAAAAGGTGTAATATCACCTTTCCTTTTGTTTTTAAATTGTGAAGATATAATTTCAAGAATAAGTTCCATAACAGCAAAAGCTCTTGCAACAAGTTTACCATTTTTCGCTAATATTTTTAAACCAAGAATTAACTAATAAACTATGAGTTATTTTGAACTTAAATTATGAAAATTTTCATACTTTTATATGAAAGTTTGCATAAAAACGGAAAGTTCAAAGTTCAACTTGCACCCCCAAGAATATTTTTCCAAGATGGCTACGCTAACTCCGAAATCGTCTATTACAAGACGTAGTTACTTCTATCGAAAGATGTTGTCAGGTGTCGTTGATTTTCCAGATGATATTGGACAGATGTTATTTGAGTAAAAAAAATACAGATGATCTTGGACAAAATTGCACAGGTGATCTTGGACTAGTCCACAGATGTTTTTGGACAGGTGTAGTAATCTTTTACCCAAATTTCCAGAATGCTTTCAAGAGAAATAGATGACAGAGAGCTTTTGATCATGTCTGTCACCAATAGCTCTACCAGTTTATTTTTTAATCTTGTGTGATTATTAATTTCTATAATCAGGGTTGGAATCAAATATGTATTTTTATTTGAAGTTCTATTTTTATTTGGTAGTTATAGGGTAAATTGGCGTATTTGTATTCGTATTGCATTTGATTTAAAAATTTCTTAAAAATTTTTATTTGCATTTGATTGAAATGTATTTTTTACAGTGTTTTTCCCCAAAAAATCCAACCGTAAACAAGGTTGACTGGTGTTTATTTGGGAAAAATCTAAGATATTTGTTTTTTTTTTCTCTTTTTTTTAAACACTAAAATAAGTTAAAATTTAGTTTTTAAAGGATAATTTTTTATGTTTTAAATTTAAATTGATATTTATAAAAGACTTGTTTTCATTCTTCTATTTAGCATACCATTTTATCAATATTGTATTAAAACAAATCTATGTATTTTTTCAAAACTAATTTACAAATATTTGTATTTGGAAAATGCCAATTACATATATTTGTACTTGAATTAGTATTTGGAAATCTGAAATTAAAGTATTTGTATTTGTGTTTGACCCTGTCTATGATTATTAATTTGGTGTTTAATTGCTGATATATTCATTCTGATATAAGGAATAGTTGATAAAAAGTTTTATTATTTTAAATTTTGAAATCTGCAAAGTCATTGTCAAATAGGTGTAAAAGTCGATATGGCGGCTTTTTTATAACTCTATTCAACTTCTACCTTTAAAAAGTTATTTTTCGTTGTTGTTGTTGTTGTTACGCGTGTTATGTCGTTATGCGTCTTGTATTAATAAAAAATAATGCATTGCAATACTAACTTTATTGGTTTCTCTATCTAGTTCTAACCAGATTTAGATTTTCTATCTAACGGTTAAATTTCTTGATCTACTCTTAACTTGGTTTAAATTCTTGATTCACTATTAAACCAGTTTTTATTTTTTATCTTCATTTCATTCGGTTTCAATTTTTTTATCTACTTCTAACCCAGTTAGTTTTACTGGAGATTCCTGGTATCTAAGTGGTTTGATATGTTATTTGAATATTCGATAATCAAATTATTTGAATAAACATTTTGTGAAAAGTTCAATTAAAATATTAAAGATAATCTGGTAAAATTTTTTAATATTGTTGATTCTTGAGTCGTGCACTTTTTTTGCAAATGAGTTTTTGTGGCATAAACATTAGAAATAAAGCTTAATGATGGTTTGCATTGATCATTTTTATGTTATTTTCATTTCGATCTGTTTCAATTACAAATTTTGTAGATTTATCAGGCCGCTATACAATAAGGGCTTGTTCATAAATTGCGTCACGGAATTTTTTACCATTTTTTATCTCTCCCTTCCCCCCTCGTTACAACTTCTTAACTTAGTATCAAGTACGAGTCCTTGTTCACAAGTACGAGTACGAGTCCACCTTCTCCTCCCTAAAGCACGACGCAATCTATGGATGACACCTAAGGTGAAAGTATGTTAATTAGTTGTTTGTTTTTTTTTCTTATCAAAATAACTGTAAGAACAAAATTTCTGAAAAACTTCTTACGTCGTGTTTGTAAAAGAATTATAATCTTATGTTGCAATAATTGTAGTCATTTAACTTATTTTTTTATTAGTTTATAAATCCGACATATGTCGGATTTACTATTAGTTCATAAACCCAACATATTATATCAGATTTATTATTAGTTCACAAATTTGACATATTATGTTGGGTAAAAAATTACTACATCTGTCCAACAACATCTGTGGAGTAGTCCAAGATCATCTGTACACTTTTGTTCAAGATCATCTGTACTTTACTTTTACTCTTATAACAACTGTCTAATATTATTTGAAAATTAAACGACCCCTAACAACATCTTTAGAAAGATGTAACTACATCTGGTAATTTTTCTCCAAGTCCAATAACATTTGGAAGAATTTTTTCCAGATGTATTTAAATCTTAAAAAATTTCTATTTGTAATAACATCTGGTTAAAATAATGCATTAGTAGTTGATTGATCTTAAAAATAACATCATCTTAAAATCTGAAAATGTAGTTGCACAGATGTTATTACACATTGATTATTTAAAAGATGTAACCTCATCTGTAAAATCCAAAGATGTTGTTGCACAGATGTTATTACACTTAGATATTTTAAAAGATGTAACTATATCTGTATTTCATTTAATTTTTTCTCAGATGTTGTTTGGCATCAACGAAACTTCAGATGTTGTTGGACAAATATCATTATACCTCATTATATTTACAAATGTTGTTGGACAGATGTTATTAGACATTGTTGAACAGATGTTATTAGACATGGCAAAAACTGATGTTGTTACCCTGACCCTTATGTCGGATTTATTAATGACATTAAAATTTTGTTATTAAAAAAGTTCGGAAATAAAATAATAAAATTAATTTTTTTTTTATTGTAGCTACATTATCGTCTATTTCAAAAAGAAGAATCTCTCTCAAAAAGTAATTTGAATCGCGGTTCAACGAGTTGTTAGTATGCGATTAAATTTAACTTGTAAAGTTAAAAAATTTAAAGTAAAAATTATAATTAAAAATAAAAATGACCAAAGTGCAATTGTTAAATATATGTAAATAATATTTACAGTTATTTATATAAAGTTTAATTTTTCACAAGATGGTATATTGTAACTTTAAAATGTTTCAAGGATGGTGATG